GGATGCATTTGTCTTATCTTATTTATAATAAAGGCCACACACGTGTGTTTGAAACTAAATATAAGCATTTTCATCATGGTTTTATTTATTACAAACATATTCTTTCACCATCAATACACGAGGCCCTCTTTTAGGTTAAAACAATCTATCTTAAATTTGTATTTCTTGAGTTTGGGACTATTATGTGTTTAAATAACTTAAAAGAATAAACCTAAAAGAGCTCTAAAAACGCAAAATATTTTTGTGTTTTTAATTCTAATTTCATCGGAATTGATGAAAACTCCCTAAAATGTGCAATTTATAGAGGAAATTGGCCTACCGTAACAAGAAATGCGCGCAAAGAATTTGAGAATTTTAGGCACTTTCAGAGGATGCATTTGTCAAGGGGTGAGGAAAGATTTTCCAAAGATTGATATTTTCCCCTTGTCCCTCGGTGTTTTAATTCTAATTTCGTTGGAATTGATCAAAACTCCCTAAAGTGTGCAATTTTTAGAGGAAATTTGAGGTTTTTAGGCACTTTCAGGGGATGAAAAGGGCATTTATAAAGGGGTAGGGAAGATTTTTCAAAGATTAAGATATTTTCCCCTTGTCCCCCAGTGGTTACGCCATCGGGCAGCATGGATGAAAGGAGTTATGACAGTTTTTGAAGTGGAGAAGGGGTTGCAGGGTGTTGTGAGTCTGGTCATATAATATCTTCCTTTTTATTCTTGTCTTTAATTTTCTCTTCTCTTTTTCTTTTTCTTTCCTTTTCTTTTCCTCTTCTTTCTCTTTCCCTCCCTCTCCCCTCTTTCTTTTCTTTTATTACCCAGCCCACCGGTACGACGGCTTGGTCAGCCCGGTAAAAACCGTCAGGGGAGGGGCAGTTTTTCCCCTGAACACCCCCCCCCCCGCCTGTTACGACACTGGCTAACACGCCAATCATCCCTCCAAATGAAAAATATTTTTCTACGCCACAGATAATCAGAATCCTCATATTATTGGGACAACCCTATTCAGGGACACCCATATTAAGCAGAAATATTAGCACTTAAGGTAACTTTATTAAAGGAAATCCGCATCCAAGGGTACATTTTTATTAGTTTTGAAGGTTTCCCCTTGCTATATCTTTGATGCAATATGAACGTGTTTCATCTTACGAACGCTAAATGATTCTATTTAATAACTACTTATTGATAGATCATCTTTGACGACCAAAACAGAATGAAATCACATCGCGTTAACCGAAATTAGACATCTTAATAATTCCCTTCGAAAATAAACGAAAGTGGCTTTCTCTAGTAGGCTGCCATTTTTAATACGTCATCCTGCGAAGAGCCACTTTAAATACGCGTGCAGTACATTCTAATTGGTCGGCGAGTATACGTAAATGTAAACTAGCCTGCGGCACCGCAGCAGCCAGTCACGGACGGATAGCTTAATGAGGATGGATGTGTTAAACAAATTTAAAAGTTCAGCTCATGGGACTGCCTAGGTTAAGGATTTACCATCTTCATTGAATGACAGTGCTCTTAAACTATCAACGTAATTTAAGGACCAAGACATCACAGAATATGATAAGAACAGATTTAATTGCGTTTGTTAATTGGCGGGAGAGACAGTGTCTCGTCAGTTCTTGTCCTACATTTCAAGTGAAAGCTAATCGTTTCTTTAAGATTTCAATTCAAGTATTGAATTACATATTTGATCTTTACGGAGACATTAACGTTAATGTTTTGCAATCAAGAGTTTGCGACGTGTAAATATGAAAAATAATTAATTGGATATAGGCTTGATAGGGCTTAAATTTCGTATATAGAGACAACAATTGACGAGAAGCTTAGTAAATATAACGTTTAAGAGTGTTTCAAGTTTGAAATTTATGGGTATGAGACTCATGGAAATGAAAGGAAGTGAGAAAGAAGGGTTGAAACATTAGGTATGTGGTGGCTAGAAACGAGTGAGAATCACAGTGTCAAATCACACTTAACAACTAACCAATCAGGACAAGGCAGGTATTTGCGCTTGTCTCACAAACGCACTCGTTTACCTACATTTTGCGGGACTTTAGCAGCAATATACAAGGGCGCGGGGCTTAGCGGAATGATGGTGTAAATGCCTGCGTTGTGTATTAATATACGACTAAATAAATTAATAAAATCATCCATATTTTCAGCATCATCATAATCATAATCCTCAGCATTATCACCATTCCATTATTGTTCATTTACAGACTTCTTATTTTCTTACTCACCTAAGTAAAAAACTGATAATTCACTTAGCGGTTGCATTTATCTAATAATAATGTATTCCCTGCGGGATAATATGATCAAATAATTTTTTGAACGATAAGAGATAAACGCGATAGAAGATATCATTAATGATCGCATATCGACTAAAGTATCAAATTTCAGATCTGTATATCTTATTGAGTATCGCGTATCGACTAGAGCTATCAAATGTCTATACATTTGACATAAGATATTAGAAAGTTATTATCATTACTGTTGATAAATGTGTTTTCCTATGTGGTTAGGTTTACGTGTTTCTCACCATAGGGTGAAATCAATTCTGGGAAAATATTGAAAAACAAATAAGGTAGTAGAAATTCTCGTTAAAGATTCGGGATATTATTTTTTGTGCTGATTTGATTCTACCGAACCAACGCTTGATTGTGGACGATCAGTAGTTTCGAGTTCATATGTTCAATATATCGTAGCCTTGTGGTATGTTCACACTATCCGATTTTCTGTGACAGATATCTATGATTTGCTCATATTTAGGTATGACATGACTCTCTCTGATGTAATTTTAAACAATTTTCAATATTCAACACTCACCGTTTTGAAACAATCAAACATTTACAACTTTCAATAACACACAGATCTAAACATTTAACTTTATAAATCTTTCAATTGATGACTAGCCTGGGCTCCAGGCCCTAATTTTGGGTTACTCACTCTCTCTTGTACTTAGTGCGCGCCATACCTAATTTAATTGGCGTTCCATACTCGATTTCTTTCTTTTTTTTTTTTTTGCTCTAAAAAAATAACTTTCTCTTTGGTGGCGCTGTCCAGAATGAGGGGAAAAAAAACAATAATAAGGGACAAGGTAATTACATAGGAGAGACCGGCACCAAATTCCGCCTCCGATTTAATAATCACAAAAAATCAATCAGAGACAACTCCACTAGTTTCCCAGTAGCCTGTCACTTCAATCTACCTAACCATAGTATTAATGACATAAGATTTATTTTGATCGCTAATAACATTTCATCCCTCTCACACAGATGCAAAGAAGAATTGAAATGGATTCTTAGAACTAATTCTCATATAAAACAAAAAGACAGTAACTCCGAAAAGAGACGGACACATTTTGAGATTCAACGTTTCGATCTATTTGATCATTTTCAAGAATACTGGTGAGAAAATCTCACCCATCCATATATATTTACAATATTTACAGAAGTATAACAGAAAGCAAAAAAAAAAAAAAAACCGACCAATGAGATTAAAATCAAAATTATAACTAGCCAATTAAAAACGAAGGTAACTAAAAATGAGGTGTGTCTTATATTAAGTATATCACTTATTATTGTGAATAAACAATGAATAATCAACAATTATTCAATATCATATAAAGACTAAGATTACTTATCAGACTACAGGTATTCATTTATGTATGCTTAATTTTCCTCTTGGTTCCCAGGCCCTTATTCAACTTTTATCTACATTGTTCATTCCATATTAAGTATCTTTATATGCCGCCTTTAATTAGGTTCTATTGTTATTTTAATTTGTAACCAATACCATTTCCTTATACTTGCTTTACTTTGTATTTTTTGTCAGTTGTCCTCACACTGAGGAAGAACACAGGAGTGTTTGAAATATTTGTGATTTTATAAATTATATTGCTTCTAGTATGTTTACAACTCATTGCTGTTTTTTATTGCTGTCTTTCTATATTTTATTTATCTGTAGAAGAGGCAGGCACAGTGGTGTAAGGCTTAGTGGTTCATTCAATCCCTTATGCTAACACGTGTTGGCGATCCATGGTATAGAGCACTGTGTATAGTTACCAGGAATAACAGGAACTTGTGTTTGGTTGAAAACATGTGACATGCCTAAATATGGTCATGATGACATCACATCATTGTTTATATATGGACATACAATACATTTTTAAAAATCAAAGCTAGTCTGAAGCGCAGGGGCATGTAACACACGTGTAAGGTTCGACAACAGAGAACGCGAGACAGAAAACAACAACACGTGATGACATGAACAAGGTTGAGGTAATAATAATATTAACAATAATAATAATAATAATAATAATAATTAACAATGATAATATAAATAGTAATAATAATAAAAATGACGGTTTAAGACAAAAGAATAATGGACATTAATACAACAGCACATAATAAGATCGATCTTGATTAATGATGGCAAAAACTACGTGATGATATTTTAATGTTACACTGTATTGTCCCCCGGGTGCTTGGCTTGTGATATTAGATCAAAACGTATATCGACGCCATTGTGGAATTATGCAGACGGCTAGTAGTAGTGTACATAATATTATATAATTACTTGCCGTAAAAAAATATGCACGCCTACTTTAGATGAATTATAGGTGTGGAGGTGAAAGTGCGTGGCAGTTTGATTAATGCCAGATCACGGGAAGTGTGTCAGGCCCACCAAGATGATGCGTAGCACAAAGCGTTTGCAGTACGGCGCAATGCGACGCGTTTTACGCATGTTGGTTTATATTTTTTCACAAAGGCCCTATAAAGTTTAAACGTTTAAAAAATTAATTACCAGAAGTTCATGTCCATGCCGTAGTTGTTTTGCACGAAACCCCGGAGGACTTCCTCGTAATCCTTCTTCGGTATTTTGCCATTATTGTCTGTTTCCACTTCCACAAATTCATAAGCATCGCCTTCGGTGAAACCCGTCATAAAGCTGATTTTGTTCTGTACATCACGTAGCAGATTTATCGGCATGTCGGCAATTATATCGCCGTCAACTACGGGCCCGAAAGCGATGAAATAAAGCGGTGCTCGTATCTTCTGCTCAGCCTGTAAAAGCTCATCTATTGGAGTTTTACGGAGTTGATCGATAATCTCCGAATCTGACTTCTTCTGGCAGCCGAAACGTTCAGCAACGCGTTTGAAATAGGTCGATGGTTCAGTAGACATTACCCAGGGAACTAAGGGTGAGCCGCCTTGTGCAATCACACGATGAATAAGGCCTATTATGAATGTAATATAATATTTTATGATAATATAAATGTGATAAGAATATAATATACAATAATAATGCTCTGATGGTAATAAGGAAATGATATAATATATGCTTATGTCCCATTATAAGATATGACAGACCTATAGTATGTAATAACGCGTAACGTGTATATTATAGGCCCTTTTATAATACACCATTTGCAATGAATTGCGTATCCTTTAGATTTAGATCTGTCCTAAATTTTATTTAAATTCACGAAAAGATTATAACAATGTCGTACCACTTGTGCGATTGGACAAGGCCAATATCCCGGAGCTGGCAGCACCAGATCCAGCTCCAACCACTGTCACCCGACTTTTGTCTCCATTGAACGCGGATATATTATCCTGTATCCATTGAAGGGCAGCAATTTGGTCTTGGAGTCCATAGTTCCCCTTTGCTACATCATTTCCTGAACTCAAAAAACCTGTGTAAAACAAAAGCCCATTTATATAATAAATAAAGGTATTTTGTATAATTAGAGACTTCTGTCATGGGCTGCGAAGCCGTTGGGTTGGGGGGGGGGGAATTTTTTGGGGAAAAAAAATCTCTAATGTCTATGCAGATTTTTGTATGGTCGGAGAGTAATGCCAGAAAAGAAAGAGTGGGTTCCCCCTCCCCATTGTGAAAAACGTTCCGCCGGCTCTGTCTGTAACGTCTAGTGCACTGTACTCATGACGACGGACATAGTAGGTCAATCGTGACGTCATAATTTTACCTTCAGCGTAAATCCTCGAATGCGCAATGGACAGTACTTTTTATTACCGTCCGCTACGCTGCGACATTGACCATTGCACGGGATAATGACTGTCGTCACGCATTTAATGTCCGTTGCTACGCACTAGTGACCATCTCTACATCCTGTATTATGACCATCTCACTTTATTTTGACATGGTGAAACGAAATTTGAAGTCTCTCAGTGTCTTTAAGCATACAAAGTTGCATGCTTTATAAAATTACATTAAGCTTAAGATTCACAATTACTCAATTTTTGACAAATACATTAGAAATCACAGGCTTGGCCGACGAATGCCTGTCAAAGATTAGAGTGTTGTTTACATAAGATACATACAGTATTAGTTGATTGAAATCTTACTTATTATTTTTAGTATAATTTATAATTGTTATCCGTTTCATACACAAGTTATAACAACGTGGATCAGTGTACTGAAGAAATTTAATAGTGTCAACTAAATATTTCATGAATGAGTAAGGTTGTGTGTTGTGAAAAGTTTAAAAATTGTTATTATTATTGCCGGTAAAAATTACTGTATTATACACATTTAGTAATTTGTATCTTGTACATTTTTTATTATAGGTATAATTGTCATCGCCCCGAAGAACATTCGGTAAATCCTTTTAGGCCTATGCAAATCAGGGGATACATCGTGCTTCTATAATGACATTGATTATTATTGTTGATTTTCGGAAAATATTTCAGCCGCTCCGAGATTCTTTCCCATTCTTCCTTTATTCTTTTTTATTTTACGTTATTTTTATGTATAATTAACATTTAGCTTATTTTTAAATTACACTTTTTACGTGTCCTATTATGTATACATTGTGTCTGTATTTAACATTTTTCTATCTTTGTCAATTTGAAGTCGGAGGTATGTCCTGGTCCCGACCCTTTTTAACGTCACTATTGGATAGGCTTATCATCATAGATTTCTACGAATGGATACCTTGTTCGAAGCAAGAAATCAAGTTGTCTTTACCCCGTACCGCACGTATATTCTATTCGTGTGAGTAATTTTTTAACCTATATAGTAATATTGAGTACTCACCTAATATTCCAAGCCTAAAATTTACAGTGACGACAACAACTTCACCGAAACTCGCTAGGATACTACCGTTGTATATTGAGCCTGCACCCGACCGAAAATCACCACCGTGTATGAACACCATTACTGCAAGCTTTTTGTCACCTGAAAAAAACAGAAGCTTAAAATAAATCAAAACTTATAGGTGGATAGCAAAACACATGTGTCATAGTAGTGGGTGTGTGTCAAGCTAATGAATTTGAACGATGCAATCAAAATGCTAATTGCTTAATTAGTATACGTATATCCTGAGTCATTAAATAGCTTTTAATTAAATCTTATGAGGACAAATTGCCTTGCCAATTTAAGCTATGTTTCCATAGAATTGCTACACAGTCGCTATCAGCGTTTTCACTGCAATCCTTGCACTGCGTAGCTGTCCCCGACGCATCGGGGAACCAAGCTTTACACTATCTTCGACAGTCGCCGACAGTTGTCGGCGGGGATGGTTGAATCTGGTTCAACTTTGCCGATTGCATTGCAGACGAATCTGGGTGCATTGCTAGCTGCCCCGACGCAACCGGGAACACTCCGATTCGTCTGCAACGCTATCGGCACAGCTACACCAGGTTCAACCTTCCCGACAACTGTCGGCGACTGTCGCCCATATGGTGAGTGATTGTATAGAACTCAAGCTTCAAGGAAACCATGGCTTAAGAGAGATGCACAATTAGTACCGTTCCTATATCCACAGACCAGACCATAGGGTCTGTGCTATATCCTCTAAACCCTTAAATTAGCTCCCAGCTCCCATATTTCGTGGTTAAAAGTTTAAAGAGCAGCTTTAGCTCAGTCTGCTGAGCTGGTGGTAGCCACTGTGTGTGCTCAACCGTGGAGATATCTTGTCTCCGTTTAAATTCTCATCGCTGCTCTCCTTGTGTGTGAACTGGAGGGGTGAAATACGATCAAGATAAAAAAAAATAACAAAACAAAATTTAAGAATGAGGACAATAATGCTGAGGATGATAGTGATAATGATAATAATAATAATAAATAAATAATAATTATTATTACAGTATATAATAATAATAATAATAATACAGTCATCACGATAATAATAACGACAACGAAAACGATAATTATAAATATGATAATAATAATAATAATAATAATAATAATAATAATAATAGTAGTAGTAGTAGTAGTAGTAGTAGTAGTAGTAGTAGTAGTAGTAGTAGTACCGTAGTAGTTGTAGTAGTAGTAGTAGTAGTAGCAGTAGTAGTAGTAGTAGTAGTAGTAATACTCTAATTTAATGTTTGTAATAATATACTCATTCTGAATTCATGAAAAAAAAACTTTATACACCATATAAAAAATGCTACAGCGTATGTAACATCTTGCGTTATTATGCATATATAGGGCTATCGACTTGTATAATATAAACACATCGTTGACAATCCATATATTAACTTCGAAGATATTACATTATCATTACTATGCTTATTGCAAATAATGGTTATGATTGCCGATTTTATTTTTATTTCAACGTTTAATTAGCTCAAATACAGTATCCAGCTACTGTATCAAAGACAAAAACACAATTAAAATGAACAGCGGGAACCAGAACTTAAAAAGTAGGTTGCGTTTAATGATGATGAAGGATATTAAATAGCTGGCATGTATTAGGGAGAGGTAAAACCAGGATGAGTGCAGCGGCCAATCAGATCGCTTCATTTATCTCTAACCAACTCTAAAGTAGGCCTATGTTTCTATGACTCGAGCGTTCTATTGGTCAGTAAGTAATCACGGCGACTGCGCGCAGTTACTAGGTAACCGTCTTGACCTTCGCTCATGATAACCATTGTACAATCGAATAATTTAAATTAAAGAAATAAATTAAATCAAATTACACGTTAACTATGAAATTGGCTAGGGTTTGTATTATTATCGTTGTCATTGAATATCATGACGATGATGGTAATCATAATAATGGTGAGGATGATGATATGATAATGATTTTGATGATGATAATCATCATCATCATCATGAGGATGATGATGACGAAGATGATAACTTATATGATAGTTATAAGTATGATGATGTTAATAATAATAATAATAATAATAATAATAATAATAATAATAATAATAATAATAATAATAATAATAATAAATGATGAAGTTGCGAATGCTCGAAATATAGCTACATCTGGTTTACGAGAGAACCTCACAAACCCAAAACCAGCAATATTAATACCATCAAAATTACACATCAGATTTAAATTTGGTCATACAGAGTTAATAGCTTCCCCCAGGGCTACACCATTTAACTGACGAACCTGACGACAATCGTAAGATACAGTGTCGATCTTCTAATCATAATTTCCTTCTTCGCAGCTTATTATCGTTTTATGGATACACTATCTAATCCTCATTCCTTTCTAAAATCTTTATCGAGATCACTTCCTTGTCAATGGAAAATTCCACTTAGCAGGGAAAATGGCGATTATTCACTTGATTGTAATATATAAAAATCGATATCATAAAGCCAGGCCCTCATGTAATGAGCTTTTTTCTGTTTCTGAATCATCGATTTTTAAAAAATTAAATATAATCGAATAAAATGAAAAGTAGTGTACATGTCGACCGTTCGAGTGAAATTTATGGAAATATGAAATTAAGGTTTTTTTTAGACATAGGCCTATGGGAAAGCCCCAGAAAAAAAGAAGCTTGATAATACTGTACAATGAATAAATAATTAGGAAACCGTAACAGAAGAGGAATTTAACAAAACTGCTTTCATCGAGAATCATCCAAAGGACCTTTTCATGCAAGGTGAATGTCATATTGTAACCCTTAAAGCCGGGCACTTGCTACGTCGTACGAGGAATCCAACTCCGCTCTCTGCATGCGCTAGACCACGTGACGCCGTCTGCTGATTGTCGGCGGCAGTCTGAAGGTATCGTCATTAAAAACGATCCGTTGCGCGCACGTCATCGCGTTGCGTTCTCTTCATAGAATCGCGTCGGCCACAGCAGACGACCGTCGGCCGGCGCAGTGAGTGCCCGGCTTTTACACCACGTATTGCTTGTGTTTGCTAGACTAAGAAGTACTTTACATATTTATAATGTGTCTGACGATAAAATTGGAATAAATGAATATCTTTAGTGCAACGTAACAGCGGGGAAAACTACACAGATCAACCTCCACTCAATACCAAATTCTTTCATATAACCACTAGATAACGTCACAGTGGCGGATTCAAGGCGAGCCCAGCCGGCCCGGCCCCCACCCCCACGATTTCTTTTTAAATGGAGATATAAAGAAAATTTTATTCAAATTGAAATCCGTAAGTGCATCTAGAGGTGCCATAATTATCACAAATTTTCTTACAGCCCCAACCATGGTGGGGCTGAGGTGCTATGATCCTCCGTCTGTGAAAGTACTTTCCTGGGCTCGCTCTATGTTGAATTCTTTGATCTGTCACACTGCGTGAATTATTGCCTTCTATTGGCAATTTAATGCATGAAAACTAATGTTATTATGATATTTGTATACGGTATATAAGCTGCATTGGCAAATGTATAAACAAAACATGAAATATATTTCTGAAGAGATTATACTGTTATCCAAAAGAAATCAGTAAGTATATTTAATAAATACAACGTAATAAGTACACACACACACACACACACAAATATATATATTGTGTATTATATATATAAATATATATATATAGGCCTATATATATGTAATATATATATATATATATATATATATATATATATATATACAGTTTCATCTGGTTTAAATATAATAAGGAAAATTATATATTCGCAGCAGAAAATATTTGGCCTTTACTCATTAATTAACAGTAAACAAACAAACAACTGATGGTAAAAAATGTCCGGACTTGTGAAATAAAAGAAGTATTTAACTGTTATTCTAATCTAGATCATAATCAATTACTGTAATAATACTGTATGCCACTATTAAATTGTAAAGTTTAAAATGTTTTCATCAGCATAAAACATTGTATTAAATTGATCTTTCGTTTCTGTGTAGGTCTATTATACTACAAATCGAGAGTACGTTGTATTTTTCTTTAAGTATTGTGGGCAAATAATTTAATTCAAATTAATATGTTTTATTCCCAGAGTTACTTAGTTCACATCTTCATAACTATAAAATCTACACATTATAACCCACTAGTAAGGTATTATTGTAATATGTTTGTAAACAGGTCTAGTAGTGGAATATGAATGAGATTCAGACAAAGAACACTGTATAAAAGAACTCTTTAAATTGATTTTTGATCAGTTTTAAAACGGTTACAATTGATAAATTATACTTCAATTACAAGCGAACACACAGGATCCGTGTAAAATGAAAAGAAAATATTGTGCCAGTGTTTGTGTTCCCTTGTAGTTTCTACACGACGCGTGCTGATGACGCTTGCACTGGCGTTCGGTGGAACAACGACGTGTTTTTCTTCTTCAAAGTCTGTTATTATAACGATTGTTTGGCATTTTTTATATCCTAGGCAGACTACTATTATGAAAGATACTAATCTGAAATTTATCATAATTCTGTTTCATAAAGAAAAAACACGATGCAATAAAACAGATTTTGGGGAATATTTCCTTCTCAATTAATAATAATAATAAAACTTGTGCTGTAATTTACTATAGTATACGTACTGTACGCATTATTTACATACAGTAAATGTTTCATATTATTTTATGAACGCATACAAAGTTATTACTAGTAGGTGTGCATATTTTGATATATATTATACATGCATGGTTTTATGAATATCGTCAACATGCAAATAATTTAGATCATGAACGTATTTAAAGAGTACAATATAAACCTTATTCATTTTAGGTATATTTGACAATACTAAACTATACAATGCACAGTTATGTGCTAAAAAACAAGATATTTAAATGCAAGTCTATACATTGCCTAAATAGAAAAGTAAACGGATCTACGATAAATCCACATAGTATGAATTTAGATGAATCAATTTTATATGAAATACATATTTAAAACCGTTTATTATGCTATAAAATAATAATATAATTTTACGCACTGTATGGAAAGCCTGTGTGAAAGTCTACTCGTATACAAACCTCGTTAAAGAACACTAGTGAAATAAAC